GGTAATTTACCCCCAGCTCAATTAATCTGGAGCTAAATCTTTCTATTCCTTCGAATTTCAAGTATTCGCCCAAAATAATAATAATAATAATAATAATAATAATAATAATATTTGGTGACTGATTATGTGGGTCGATGATGTTTTTGTTTATGACGATGTAAAGGGCTTGAGACTTTGCAGGGTTTTATACCTTGTAATTTACCCCCAGCTCAATTAATCTGGAGCTAAATCTTTCTATTCCTTCGAATTTCAAGTATTCGCCCAAAATAATAATAATAATAATAATAATAATAATAATAATATTTGGTGACTGATTATGTGGGTCGATGATGTTTTTGTTTATGACGATGTAAAGGGCTTGAGACTTTGCAGGGTTTTATACCTTTGGATTCGATTTTTTTAAATTTTCCGCATCTCTTATACGACTTGATACCATCTGTGTTTTTCTAATTTTCTTTTTGAGCGTTTTAATGAGGACAGATTGGTTAATTAAGGTGTCGTCGTCACTCATCTATATATATTCTGTAACTTGTCCAATAGTGCAGTGTTGAGAAAATTTCGCATTTGTTAGGGATACCTAACCCGCTCATTGAGCTATGGCGTTCGTTTGTTCGTTATTGAAATCGTTTGGCAACCAATTTGACGATTAGAAATCTCTAAATTGTGTCGACTTTTGAGCATTACCTTTTATAGCGTGGTGTACGAACAATTTGGTTGTTCAGAGGAGGATTGATATGCTAGTTTTTGCCTAACGGCTTACAGACCTTTGTAGTTAATAGAATAAAAAGGACTAGCGATGGACCTAAAATGAACTTGGTCGGAAGCAATTACGAAGGATGTGATAATACTTAACCTAACGGATGGGACAACTCATGATAGAAATGAATGGAGTAATAGGATTCACATAAGTGACCCTGATATTTTGGGATAAAAGCTTTGCTGTTACTGGTGTTGCTGTTGACCCAACCCCTTACAGACTTCACGACACTTTCGGTCTAGTTTCCTCATTGCGCCAGTGGATGAGTTCAGCTGTGTTTATTGGTTTCTTTATTGCGCCAGTGGATGAGTTCAGCTGTGTTTATTGGTTTCTTTAGTATAATTACTCGTCATTGTTCATGCCATTTCAGTCCTCGTATGTTTTTTTCCTCATTAATCGCTTTTACTTTTATCATGTGACCATCCAGCTGTACCTCAGGTGCTATTTGGACTGAGATCTTCTAAGTCAACAAGAACAGAAGTAAGTGGTGTAGTTGCACACGCAGCTGGAAATATGGCACAACCAAGCACAGCCATCAATCAAGATGGTGCACTGGAATGGGTCAAGAAGGATCACCGAAGGCTACTTCATGTTGTTTATCGCGTCGGGGACGTTGACAAAACAATAAAGTAAATTACTCTCGTTCATGAAATTTTGATCTAGTTATGGTGGATTTCAGTTTCTAGCTTGATTTCTATATGTTTTTTTGTAGATTCTACACAGAATGCCTGGGAATGAAGCTCTTGAGGAAACGTGACATTCCTGAAGAAAGATACACGAATGCGTTTCTTGGATATGGGCCTGAAGACTCACACTTCGTTGTTGAGTTGACTTACAGTAAAATTCCTGGCTTGCATCTTTATAATACTTTCTGTGATAGAGATTTTGCACCATATGTTAAACACTTATACAGAATTCCAGGCATATTATTCACAATATTTTTTAATAATTTAATATATTATTATTCAATTTACGACTCGTTCTTCCATTGAGGAGATATCTAATTTTTTTTTTCCAAATGACAGATTATGGGGTCGACAAATATGATATTGGAACTGCTTTCGGTCATTTTGGAATTGCGGTTGAGGATGTAAGTTTCTTTTGCCTCCAACTAATAAACTAAGTTCCAAATTTATGTATGGATGAAAGACGCATGCCTGCTGACTGTGCTATAAAAGTTCTCATTGCTTATGCATAATCCAATATTGTTATATTCTACCCTTAAGATGCTTATGAATCTGTTTACAGATGTTCTCTTGCAGTGTCCATGATATATTGCCTCATTTAACAATGTTTCATCCTTTTAATTACCTTAAAAAGACTGCTGGTGTTTGCCTAGACTCTGCCAATTTCTATTGAAATATGATGCCATGCTTCTGCCTAAATTATGGTAATAGTAATTCCTGAGGAAAATTGCTTTACTAACTCCCTCAAATTTGATTATTGGCTACACAATAATATTATTCATCCTTCTATTTGTTTTGTATTGATTTCTTGTTTAAGCGTTCACTTTATAAATTTAGGCATCGTATATTTTAGCATGACATGCAACTTTATTGATATTTGCATTTTTGATGTAGGTATCGAAGACTGTTGAGCTTATAAAAGCCAAGGGAGGGAAGGTAACTAGGGAACCAGGCCCTGTAAAAGGCGGCAACACTGTGATTGCTTTCATTGAAGATCCTGATGGTTATAAGTTTGAGCTTATGGAAAGAGGTCCTACTCCAGAGCCCTTGTGCCAAGTAATGCTTAGAGTGGGAGATCTTGATCGTTCCATAGATTTTTATGAAAAGGTGAGTTCTTAGTGGAGAACCAGCAGTTGTTTGCTCCAGGATCCTTCTCATTTTATACTTCATTACCTATTCAAGTGATCTCTTATTTATATGGAAGGCATTTGGGATGGAGCTTCTACGCAAGAAAGACAATCCCAAGTACAAGGTAAGTTAATTTATTCTTAACAGTTTACTTTCTTACATTTGTTCGCACAAGAGCATATAAATATGGTCCCAATTTTCTTATTAAGCACTGTATTCTAGGATCATTTAGCTGGATTTAGTCAAATTGTTATCTAAACCTTTATGCGACATGTTTTTGCAAACTCCTGAAAGTTATACATAGTTCCTTCCAGTAAAAATAAAGTATATAACTTGTCTCCTCTTAGGATTTAAATAAACTGTGAAGAAAATACACTCCTTGTGAATGAGGGAATCATATCATTTAAGTGAATCCCCCAACAGCTACTCCTTTCTCAAGTTCTATGATGGAAATGCGAGTGGTTAACAATATTTCATTCATACCAAAATAGATAATTAACTTACTGGAGTTGGTATCTTAGACCCAACTAACAAATTAAAATAAACGCCTTTGGGCCATGTAAATCCCAAAGGACAAGAGCTCAAGGTGCACAAAATGCATTTTCAGCAAATTGGTAAGATTCTTTTTTTTTTAAAGTTAATATTTGATATCACCAATATTGCCAATTCAAGAAACTTAAGAGTCAGTTTGGCAAAGTCGACATGTAAGATTTATGGTCAAACATAGAACAAGCTTTTGATCCAGATTTTAGTTATATTTGTTATTAAGAATTGGGCACATTTTTATGTATTAAACAATGAAACAAAAGCAGCCTATTTTATGAAACTTATTTTCCTCTAACATCCACTCTGTAACGATTTTGGATGCTGGCATTTATACATGTTTGCAGTACATCATCTATGTCTAACTTCAAATTTTGATTGTGTTTACATATGCTAATCTTCAGTATGCAATAGCAATGATGGGATATGGTCCTGAAGACAGAAGTGCAGTGTTGGAATTGACCTACAACTATGGAGTGAAGGAATATGATAAAGGCAATGCCTATGCACAGGTAATCCTTGTTTCCTTCTACAAATGACCAGTGTAAGATCTAGGATCTGTTATATTCAGTCCTAAAGAGTTCCATCACATACTTCTTATGGATACCCTATAATCTTTCATTAAGATTTCAGTTCTTTTTTATAGAGCTTTCATATTGTTGATTTAAGGCTTTCAATCTTTTCAGATTGCAATAGGCACGGATGATGTTTATAAAACAGCAGAAGCTATAAAACTATATGGGGGAAAGATTTCTCGTGAACCTGGGCCTTTGCCCGGCATTAACACCAAAATCACTGCTTGTGTGGATCCGGATGGTTGGAAAACAGTATGACACAACTATCCCTTTTTAATGATTTTTTTTTAAATTTTCTTTTAAGTTCATTATTTTTATCTAAAATTCTGGTAGAAGTTGTTGTCTTTCATACTTACAATATTTGATAACTTCCTCAACTCGGATTTTATATGTAAAAAATTAACCATCCTGCTATTGCATTATTAATATATTCTAGGTTTAAATGGATGCCTTGAACATGCCTCTGTTTTATGACCAGCAAACATTAAGTTGGATATGCACCAGAAGAAATTTACCTTCAGTCGTTGATAACTAACATAGCAAATTAAGCTAATTAAATAATTTGGTTATCACCGTCAGATATCGCTTCACCTCTGGTAATATAAACGTCTAGTTGATGCGGACTAGGGGGAGGGCTCATTCAAAGAGCGGGATAAACTCAAAATGTTCAAACTTTAGTACCTATTTAAACCTACAGAACCTAATCAGTCTCTGAAATGTGGAGATTCTAGATTGTACAATCTTTGGTAGCTATCTAGAACTGGGTCCGAATATGGTTGGGAGCTAAGCGAATCTCAAACAGTGTTGTAAGGCCTTGATGGAGCCTCACAAGAAGAAGGGAATCATCAACGACTTGATGGACTGACATTGTATGTTAGTAGAGGCCAAACAGAAGAGATCTGATGACTATGTTATCAGAGGCCAAACGGAAGAGATCTGACAACAAGGATAATCAGGCGAATCTCGAGAGCTCATCGGAGGTTATTGTTGGAGTTTGTAGACAGATTCCCTAAATTTCCATGGACTATAATATATGATATTGGTCATTTTCGATCAAATGACAAGTTGTCCCGCGTAGAACATTTAATGCATACTCCATAATTTTAAATTTTTTGTGGTCCAATGATTTTGGTCATTTTTGACCTGAGTCACAAATTGTTGTTCCACACAGAGTGTTTTATGCCTACTCAAAATCTATGAATCTCAGTGGATAATAATTCATGATGTCGGCAGCTTTCGACTAAATCACTAGTTACTGTCCGGCTTAATTGTAGCTAAATACCTTATGGTTTCTCCTAATTTGCACTTGTATACTGTCACTTGTTTTTGGCAGCATTTATAAGTTTTTAAAACTTGCATATATCCTCACTTGTTTTGGCAGCACTTATATGCCCTAAGGTTTTTAAAACTTGCATTTTGCACTTATATGTCCTTAGTTATGCAAACTTGAGGGTATTTAAGTGTAAGTTTTAAAAACTTTAGGTATTTAAGTGCAAGTTTTTAAAATATTATTGTAGGTAAGTGCTTCCAAAAACAAGTGAAGGCATACAAGTGCAACATAGCTGAAACTATAGGGTATTTAAGTGATTAAGCCTTATCACCCTAAATAGAGTTTTTTTATGCGTAGTCCAAAATTCTCAAGTTCTCGTGAAGTATAATCCATGATTTTTATCGTATTCGATGAAATCCCAATTTGCCATCCGACATAGAATATTTTATGCATATTCTAAGCTTTCGAGATTTCCGTAGACTATAACCCATGATTTTGATCGTTTTTAACCTAATCACGAGTTGTCTTTCTGCATAGAGTATCTTATGGGCACTAAAAAGTTAATGAATTTCAGTGGACTATCCATGATTTTGGTAGTTTTTGACTAAATCACAAGTGATTGTCCTGCATAAAGTATTTTATGCGTACTCTAAAATTCTAAAATTTTTGTGGACTTGTAACCCATAAATTTTTGTATTTTCAACCAAATTATAAGTTATCAAATTTCTGAATTCCTATGGACAATACATGATTTTGACTTTTCGCAACCAAATCACAAGTTGTCTTTTTGAATTGGATGCTTTATTCATTATCCAAACATCCCAAATTTTTATGGACTACAACTCATTATTGTGGTTGTTATCGACCATATCACAAGTTGTCGTCACACATATAGTATTTTATGCCTACTCTAAAATTCCCGAATTTTTGTAGACCGTAACCAATTATTTTGGTGGTTTTCGACCAAATCATAAGTTGTCAACTCGAATAGAGTATTTTATATGTACTCCAGCATTCTCAAATTTATGTACATTATAACTCATAATTATGGCTATTTTTTACCAACTCACAAGTTGTTATTTGGCATAAAGAATATTTTGTATACATGAACTTCTCAAATTTCTGTGGACTATTTATTTTACCCATAATTTTGGCCATTTGCAATCATATCACATGTTGTTCTGCATAAAATATAGACTTAATTGAACTTAAATACCCTATAGTTCCCCCTACATTGCATTTATATACGCTCACTTATTTGTGGCGGCACTACTGTACTTCAAAGTTTTTAAAACTTGCACTTTCACAGGTTTTGGCAGTACTCATATACCCTAAAGTTTTTAAAACATACACTTAAACTCTAAAGTTTTTAAAATATAAACTTAGATGCCCTCAGTTATGAAAACCTGAGGGCATTTAAGTGTAAGTTTTAAAAACTTTAGGGATTTAAGTGCCAGTTTTAAATACTCTAGGCTATTTAAGTGTAAGATTTAAAAACTTTAGGTATATAACTGCTGCACAAAACAAGTAAGAGTATATAAGTGAAAGTTTTAAAAAAACTTTAGGTAATAGGTATATAAGTGCTGCCAAAAATAAGTGACGGTATATAAGTGCAACATACGGGAAACTATAGGGTATTTAAGTGAAACTAAGCTAGAATATATTATGTATGATTTGAAATTCCTCAATTTGTGTGGACTGTAACTCAAGATTATCATCGTTTTTGTCTAGATCACAAATTACTTTTCCGCATAAAATATATTATGTGAACTCAAAATTCTTGGATTTTTGTCAATATATAATTTATAGCCTATAATGTCGTGACTAAATCACATCCCCCACCATGTAGTATTATATGTGTGCTCCAAATTTCTGAATTTATGTAGATTACACCCCATGATTTTGGTCATTTTTTACCAAATTACAAGTTGTCATCCCGCATAGAGTATTGTATGCACACTCTGAAATTCTTAAATTTCTGTGGGCTATAACCAATGATTTTGGCCACTTTCGACTAAATCACAAATTGTCGTTTCACATAGTATTTATGCAAACTCTGAAGTTCCCAAGCTTATGTGGACTATAATTTATAGTTTTCGTCATTTTCGACTAAATCATAAGTAAACGTTATGCATAGAGTCTATTATCCATACTCCAAATTCTCAAACTTTTGTGGACTATACCCCATGATATTGATTGCTTTCAACCAAAATGATAAGTTATCGGAGGAAGCGAGTGGCATTAGGGGCTTTAGTGAATTGGCCACATGAACAGTAGACTTGAGTTACTATTCAAGCAAACAAACAAAAAAATTTTCCTTCCATATATGAATCCACGAAGGGAAAAGAAGGAAATGGTTGAGGAAAGTTTGGGATTGTTAAAATTTTGGAGTTTATGTGGACTTTGAGATGAAGGGCTAGGATTATAGAGAACTTTAAATAGATAGATGAAATTATTGAAAGAGAGGTTTTTTGGATAAATAGGTTTCACACCTAAGACACTTCACATTTCAAGACGTAACAACTAACCTGGTATGAAAGATCTCTCAAGACGTAGCAACTAACATGGTATGAAAGGTCTCTCATCTCACGAATTTTCATTTCATTAATTAATATTCTACTCATAGAGGATAACAACTTTATTTATAGGAGAGAGAAACTAAGTCTGTAAACTAAAACAAATCCAAACCAAATTCTAATAAAAGAAATAAAATAAATTAGAATGAAAATCATAATAAAATCCTAACAAAAGGAAACTAAATAAAATCCCAAACAATATAGAATCTCATAGTCCAAAATCCTAAAACAAATCCTCAAGAAATCTTAACTAAAATAAAGATTACGTCAAATACTAAACTAAATAAAAAACAGATCTAGTAAACCTAAAAATCTTCTGATCGTTGAGTTTTGAAGTATTAAGGAGGTCATAAGCTCACTGCAACCAGAAAAGATGACTGCATTAGGGGATTTTAGTCCAAACTCTCACGTCTTACATCTCTACAAATGAGCACATCAAATGGATGGCTCTAATCCCCACATATCTGAGTCTTAAGGCCAGATAGAACTTGCACTAAGTTACATTAACAGGATATCATATCAATTTGAACCTAGTAATGCTTGGTCTATTTTGTAAGTAAACCATAATGATAAGGCCTTAAACTTTTATTTTGATAAATTAAAAATTTTAACTGATAAATTTGATAATTGCTCAAGAAGAAGATTGGACTTTGGAGGTCAGGAAAGATGTAGTAAGTAACATTTTACTATAGAAAAGTAGAAAAAGCATTTGCATCTTTCTGACATTGGGAATCAAGTTCAAACTTTATCAAACTTCTCATAGAATGTCGGTAAATTCTATCTTACTAATATTTGAATTTTTCTTTGCTGCGTGATGTTGGAATTAAAGCAGGTTCTGATTGTTGGTTTGTATTTTATGTCTCCAGGTATTTGTTGACAACATAGATTTCGCTAAAGAATTGGAGTGATTGCCTCTCTTGCCAGAGCTTTTTACCCATGATCCAACCCTTATTCGAGGTGTATCTGACCTCGCATCATCAAGAGCAGCCTTACGCTCGTCAAATCCCGTGAAAATCCCCTATTTCAGACCTCAGTTTGTAGATAAGTTATTCCGTCTGCTGTGTGAGTGATAATAGAGCAATACTTATCCCAGGTTATAGCTCAGTGTAGAGGCGAATGTGTTTTGATAATGTTTGTCAGTTTCCTGTATTGTTAATCCTTATAGATGCCACTTCTGCCAATAACCTTGTCACTTTGTAGTTGTTTAATTACAAAGTCCTTTATTGACCTTGTTATGCCAATATTCACGGTGGCAAAAGTTTGGATGTTTGCCGAATTCCTTCTGATCCAATTTGTTTCTACGTTCAGTCCCTTCTACTTACTCTTCCTACTGATCCAACTTTGCGTGTGTGTAGTAGGATAGGAGGTATAATTTGTAAATCGGTGGTTCCTATTTGGAGAAGAATCAACAGAATTACTAATAAAATTATGATATATATATTATATATATAATATATATATATATATAATATATATAATAATATATATATATAATATATATATATATATTATATATAGAGCAGACTGCCTATCAACTTAAGTTGATGTCCACCACAAGTTTGTAGCCACACATTTATTAATATAAACACCTTTTTATAATACAGGATCCCTAGGCAATATGAGTGGTTAAAAACTTGTGGATCACACTATTCCCCTATCCACTTAAGTTGACACAAGTTTTTACCTATTATATATATATATATATATATATAATGAGAAAAGTGAAATTTGATACTTGCGCTCCTTTTTTGTGGTCTTTTAGCATATCCGCATGTTTGTGTATTCTCCTTTGCGGTCCCAAAGGAGTCGGGACCCATGGATTAGCCCATTCTACTTGATAATGTAATAATCCTTAAGACGTACATATCATAATCTATTTTAGCATGTCTACTGAATTCTCCACACCCACTTTTGTAAGAAAGTATATATATCTGCACTATTTCTTTGGCGTGATTACAAATTATGTCAAACTGGTTTTCCTCTCCAAAACTGGATGTTGAGCAAGGGAAATGATCGTGTGACGGTGAAAAAAAAACGACTTTCCCAATTTTGATACAACTCGATAAAATTTGTTGGAGGCAGAGAGGTTTTTTTTTTTTAAAACCCCGCCCAGGAGAGGGAGGTCGGACTATAAAGCGATAACTAAGCGCTGATCATGTCAGTCAAATAGAAGTGAGGATCACTAACTCGACGCTAAAGATTGCAGGGACAAAAAAAAAAAATTAGCTTAAAATATTAAGTTGTTAGGTATTATGCCCATGTTCTATGTAAACACATTACTCTGTCTCATGATCTTTAATATAATGGAGCCTCCTCCCCAAGTCAATTTCCAATGGCGGATAGAGGCTTATTCTTTCCGAACAACTTTTCCTTCAACAAAATGGAAAGAGGAAAAGGGAAAGCTAGAATTCCTTGCAGTACAAATCTTAACTTGCAAATATTTGCAACGCAAGACAAAACGCCAACGAGGAAACCAAACGTTTTATAAGACTGATTGTTGAAAGAAATGATTGTCCCGTTTCAATCATCTCATTAAAAAAAAAAGGAACAAAACTAAAAGGGAAAAGAAAAAACTTCTAGATTGCCGGTCATACTTCCTCAAATATTTTCCCTTATTATGGT